TTGACACGTTCTTTAATTCCGCCAAAATCTAATAGTTTTTTTTTTTCATTTCTGACTCAAACATCCAATGGGAATTTAAAATCACTAGTTCTGTTTTATATTATTGTATTCTGACTCAAACATCCAATGTGAGTTTACAAACACTAGTTCTGTTTTATATTATTGTTACGACAGCGGAAGTCACGTGACTCTAGTAACACGTCATGAGCTTCTAGAAAAATCATGTCCCTTCGTGAAGCCTCGAGTGTTTACTAGATGTACGGTATTCTTGTATATAAGGCCGCCAAGAAGTGACGGCAACAATGGAATTTAATTGCAGACAGAGATAGAGATGACAAGTGAGTCAAGCGCGTGAGTCGTTCGTTGTGAATTATAGCGTTTGTTTAAGTTACAGCGTGACTGTGGAAATTAAGTGTATTGCAAAGTTGTATTGAGAAAGAATAAACTATTTTTATAGAAGAAAGGACTTGTGTCGCTAAAGTTTCATCGGAAAGAAATTATACGGGAAATTAACTAACGACCAGAGACGTAACAAATTGGTGTCAGAGAGTGGGACGGAAAAGAAAAAAAAAATGGAAACGAGAAGTGGCAAATCAAACTACAGCTTAGCAGATTTGATGGCAGCAATACAAGAACAACAAAAGAAACAAGAAGAGCAAGAAGAGAGACAACAGCAGTTGCAAGAAAACCAGCAACAGTGGTAGCTCGAACAGTAAAATAAACAAGAAGAGAGATTACAGCAGCTGTTGGAGGAAAAAGAAAAGAAACAAGAAGAACGAGAAAATAAACAAGAAAAGAAATTACAGCAGTGGTTGGAGGAAAAAGAAAAAAAAACAAGAAGAGAGATTACAGCAGTGGCAAGAAAACCTGCAACAGTGGCAGCTCGAACAGCAAAATAAACAAGAGAGATTACAGCAGTTGTTGGAGGAAAAAGAAAAGAAACAAGAAGAACGAGAAAAGAAACAAGAAGAGAGATTACAACAGCTATTGGAGGAGAAAGAAAATAAACAAGAAGAGAGACTACAGCAGTGGTTGGAGGAGAAAGAAAATGAACAAAAAGAGAGACTACAGCAGTGGATGGAAGAGAAAGACAATAAACAAGAAGAAAGTCTCCAACAATTGAGAGAAAGCCAGAGTACACAAATGGAAAACATTAGTCAATTTCAAAGTGAATTAAATACATTAAAGAATGATTTATTGACTTTTACACAAGGAGGATATATTAGCCATCGACCTAATCAGCCTCAGACAACAGGAAGCCCTTCCAGACCCCGCAGCTAAACCCTAATGCAGACATATTCAGTCCCATTAGAAGTCACATCCCAGATATGAATGTCAGTAATAGGAGTTATTCAGTAAGAAGGAAGCCACAGGAATACGGTGGGAAATCACCGTGGGAAGCATATAGAGCACAGTTTGAGCTACTGGCAGAGATGAATGGATGGACAGAGGAGCAGAAAGCAGTATATCTGGCAACGAGCCTGAAGGGACAACCACTGGAAATACTTGGACAGTTGTCAGCAGACGACAGGCACAACTATAGAGCACTGGTAGCGGCTCTAGAACTCGGGCATGAAACTCAAAATCAGTCCGAAGTCTACAGGGCTAGGTTTAGGACGAGAGTCCGTGTTAAAGGGGAGAGCCTGTAAGAGCTGGCACAGGACTTGGAAATTATGGCACACAAGGCCTACCCAACTGCACCCACTGCCTTGGACAGTCCACAACTGAAAATACAAGTAA